GTGTCAAGAGCTTTCCTGATATTTTCAGTTATACTTATCGATGCATAACAGGTAGAATGTTTTAAACGAAAGCCAATTTGAAATTCATTTTAACAGTTAAAAAAGTTAAGAAAAGAGTATACTCTAGAATACATAAGTTTTTCAAGAAGTTTACTAAGGTTAGATAAAAAAGAAATAGGTCTGTAGTTCGTACATAAATGTTTTTAAATATTAGAACAACGTTTTTAAATATTAGAATAACACAAGATAATTTTAAAACATTCGGAAAAGTTCCATTTATGAATGTTATATTAAATAGTTCAGAACGAATATTTGAAAATTTATAACTAAAATCAATATGAATGTTTGTGGAAATGCTATTTTGGCCTATTGATTTTCTTGGCTTCAAATTAAATATAAGAGATGAAACTTGAGGAATATTTGTTGGAGATATTTTGGAGATTGTTGGATATAATGGATATTTAAGATATTTTGTATAGTTTATATACGACAAATAAATATTGGATTAAAGTTTTTATGCGATGTTTGTCAAAAAAAGTGTTAAACCTTTCAGATATTTGGTTTAGTTATTTTTCATTATCTTTTAAACAGTTGGTAGTAGAGTAATTAGAGTTTTTGACATTTATTAAATTAGTTAAATTTATTAAATTTTTGCTTTCCAAACTTTGCGAAGATATTTTACATTTTCTGTAAAGTACATTTTAAGATGCATTTTTTTACTGAGCTTAACTAAGGTAGTTATCATGTATTTATATTGTTTGAAAGTAGTTTTAAATGTGTTAATGTTCCTAATATCTTTTGATATAACATTTTTTTTAAAAAGATTGTGTATTTAGAATCGATTTTCAGATTCCCTTTGTAATCCAAGGTTTAAATCGACGCTTGAAGTTCTTAATACTAATTTTTTTAACTGGGTCGTAGCGATTCATAAACTAGGTTGTTTTAGAAATAAATGTTTGGAAACTAGAGTTAACATTATTGTTCTTTAAAAGATTATCCCATTTAACTTTTAATAAATCTGATTTGAAGTTTATTTTAATAAAAGTTTTTAAAATTTTTGCGATATAAATTGTGATATAAATAGCTTATTAAAGTTAGGGCAAATACAAAATTGAGTAAGTGATCAGAAACTGAAGTTGTCAAATTTCCTGAAATAATTTCATTAGTTATTAAATTAGGAAAAAATATTGTCAATGATTGCAGCAGAGTTGTTAGTCGAATTTAAGTGGAGGGTTTCAGTGAAATAGATATGAAAAAAACAGTGACAGAAATGGAAAAATAGGCTTGCTAGCTCATTTTGGAACATTGAAAATATTACTTCGACAGGGTGTAGCTATAAGAGGTGATAATGATAAAAAAAAAAATTTACCAGTTTAATTTGAATAAGAGTAAAAGTGACAAAGCATTAGAAATGCCGATGATAGAAAGCCATTATGTTTTATCTCATGACATCTTGCAAGAGCAAGAACAACTACTTACCTTAGAATACCGATGTTTGAAAGCCATTATGTTTTATCTCATGACATCTTGCAAGAGCAAGAACAACTACTTACCTTAGAAGCACAAAGGCAGATTGTTGAACTGATTAAAGATAAACATTTTTATTCGGTACTTGCAGATGAATCCTCAAATATTACTAGGAAGGAACAAATGTCGTTTAATATAAGGACTTGCAGTAACAACTATGTAATGAATGAAGATTTTATCGGAGCATATAAATGCGTCAACGGTCTTTATTCAGATGCCTTGGTGCCATATATTGAAGATATTCGTTTTTAGGTACAACTTGGAATATACAAAAGTTGCCGGAATTGGCTTTGATGAAGCATCAGTTATGAAATGCTTGGCAGCAAAACTGGAAAATATTTTTGAACAGCAAGCACAATATTTTTATTGCATGGCATATTGCAGCAAGCTGACTGCTAAGGATACATATGCAATTGTACAGTCAATTTATGCAATTATTGGGGCATATCCAAAGTGTTTTGCCTTTTTCAAATAAATCCAAAATGATATATGGCAGGAGTCTGAATCAGTTGAATACAAAACATTGCAACTGAAGTCTATGTCAATGACTCGATGGACAACACGAAATAAGCAGTACAAGCGGTGTTGGAGAAGATTGCAGAACTCCGTACAATATTAAACAGTCTTCAGAGTGATAAGACAACTGCTGCAGAAACAAGAGCACATGTTAAAGGTTTATTATCTCAGCTTTCATCAATAAAAACACTTTTCGAAAAACACTTTTGAATTTTTTGTTATCCTAGACAACCTATCGAGGCAGTTACATGAAATTAATTTGACAGGTGATGTCACAGTATTCTGCATTCGAAATGCGTCTCAGATATTTGCAGAACTTTGATCAGATAAGAAATTTAATAGAGTTTATTTATATTAATAAGTAAATTTAATTAAGCAAGTCTGAAATTGAAGTCGCGCAGAGACAAAGAGTAATACCTAAAACATTAAGCGATTCAGTAATTTTACCAGCGCAAAAAAATAGATTGAAAATTGTATAATACTACTTTCGTTTTAAGCCACAAAACTTAAATAAAAAAAGCGAGAAGATGAACAAGACTTGAATAATAGATGAAATTGCACTATTTAATCTCATGTAACAATCAGTGGAACGTTTGAAATATGTTTTGAAATGTAAACATTAAAAGGTGTGGTTGCCGAAAAAAGTTCGAAAGTTGTTTTCCAAGAGCAAACAAGCCATTACGTTTGGCATTTTTGGGTTTAAATTTTTTTGTTTTGTAATTATTGTTTTTTGATTATAATATGCTTTAAGACGACTGAAGGGTCTTGTCATAGAAGTCATAGAGTGTTTAGTTAAAACGTGTGTATATATAGAAACTAAAATTTGAAATTTTTTTAAAGTCGAAATTTTTTGAATTTTTTTTTTTACAGTATTTAGAACTTTTTAAAGATATTTAGATATAAACATAGATATAAATTTTAATTTTTTAGATACAGATATATTTAGGTATAAACATAATATATTTATATGATATATTTTTTAGATAAAGATATAAACAAGATAAAGATATAATATAGATAAAGATATAATATAGATATATTTTTAAGATATTTAGATAAAAAATTTTTAAGATATAAATTTTTTTAAAGGTATTTAGAGCTATTTTGAGGCTGCAGCTACTGTTTTCTTTACAGATATTTGAAAAAACCCTAACGCGATTTTTTTTATTTGAATTTTTTTAAAGTGATTTATAAAAATATATTTTACTTAGGAGTCTTAAGCTGTTGTCGTACTTCATTATGTGTCACGTGGGTTTAATAACATTTCTGAACTTTATTGTTGTTTTTAAATAATAAGATTTGAACTTTTATATCTTTTATATCTTAGAGAGTTGTATTTATTTGAACACTCAAGGAATAAATATTTATTAACCAAAGATAGCTTAACTATGAAAACATGATTTAATTAAAGCAAACAGACAATGAAAACTACAATACTTTAAACCATAATTAAATTTAATTAATTGCACTTACTTTAACAAAAGCAAAATTATTTATTGGAAGTAATTTTGATTTTGCAAAGAAACCAATCAAGGCAACTGGTTCCCTAAATTGGAAGACTTTGTTTCCTCAGTATATAAAAACTGCGACTAAACTATTTCTACAACCTTTTAATTTTATTTCTGATTAAATAAGGAAAACTTTATAATTTCAATCAAGGAAACTTCGGACTACTTTTTTATATCACTGCAATATCATGCTTGCAGCAATTTATAAGATTATAAACAAAAAAAGATATAAACTATAGCAGTATAGTTTACCCAGCGCAGTATTTTGGTGGTACAATGCACACATTATTTTTTTCTTATTAACTTAAGAAACTTTTTTCGTTAATTTATGAATCTGTACTGGTTTATCATCGAACTGTGCATCATTTATTCGCCGTACATCATTTATTCAACCGTACATCATTTATTCAACTGTACATCATTCTTTATTCTCTTCTCACCTTTGCTATTGTTGTATTGTTTGGGGTCCAAAAAAAAACTTTTTACTTAATAACATTGCTAGTTTACAACGCGCATCTATTAGAATAATGACGTTTTCCCCAATGAGATCTAATATTAAAAAAAAAATTTCTGAACTAAAAATTCTAAAACTCCATAATCATGTAAAGTTTTACAATTGTCTTTTTGTGTTTGACTTTCTCCAAAATAAACTACCAAGCCTTTTTTCAATTTTTTTTTATTAAAACCAACGAAGTTCATAATCATCTCACCAGCAATACAGAAAATAGTAAGCTATACTATTCTTTTTTCAACACAATCAAATATGGTAAGTTTTCCATAAAACAACAATGTATTTCTCAATGGAAGCAGTGTATTCCTGCATTAATAAATAAGTCTAAGAAAAATTATCCACTTGTTACGAATTTTTTACTGCTCAACAGAATTCAATTTAAAAATATATTGTTGGAGTGTATTTCTTTATGATTTCTCTCTGTACTGTAGTTGTCTTCAATATATAATCTCTTTAACGAACAAGTGGTTTGATTTTTACTTTATTTATTATTTACCTATCTTATATTATTGTGTTATTAATGTTACATTTTATGTTATTATTATATCTAATTATCATCTATGATTTGTACATACAATTTATATTGTATTATAATATTATTGGTACTTTATTATTATTGTTATTATTTTGTATTATTACTATTATTATTACATATATCATTATTATTTGTTTGACAATCTTTTCTTCTTTTCTCTCTTATTTATATATTCAGATGTTGAGTTTTTCCTTTTTTTTTTTTTTTTATCTATTTAATTATTTTTTCGTGAAATTTTACTAGTTTGTAACTATATGAGTGACACCTAACCAATTTATATTAATTTACGATGAAATTTGTAAATTTTATTGATATGGTTGAATAAAAAAAATAAAAAAAAATTTTATTATGTCTTGAACCACTGTTTTAAATTTTTAGAAAAAAAATCTAAAGCAAACTTTACCTGGAAAACGCTATTCCACAAATATCAACCCATTTTGTTCGCACTTTTTCCCATGAATCTTTCAAAGCTTCAATTTCCCGCTCAGAAAGTGGTAGTTTAAATCCATTTACGCTATTATCGAGTTCAATAGGTGTGTATCGGTTTCTTGCGGAGCAGTTTTTGTTGAACTGTTTGATCAATTCTTTTTTATCTGCACAATAGTAGTTACCCATGCTTCTTCTAACTCTTAAGTGAACGTGAAAAAATAAAAAATATTCAAAAATGTGCAAAACTTAAGTATAGTATTTTTAATTTTGTATTTCCAGCATTTTTTGATGTTTAGGACATGGAGCAAACTTAATTGCGCTTAAGGATTATAAGGATGCTTTGCAAAAAATTGCGATGATTGGAGCCTGGAAACAAAAAACTTAAACATTTTTACGCTCTTGCTCCAAACAACTTGATAAAATAAATGAGCAGCAACTTAATAATTTTTTTTTTTACTATTCTTAAATAAATTAATACTCATCAAATAAATTTTAAATTTCATATAATAATCTTAAAGCGCAAAAAAATTATGACCCCCTCTTCCATTTGTGGGGGTTACAAATTTTATGAGATATAATTTGGTATAATTTGCGGTTAAATAGTATTAAGAACTATTATTGTAATAAAACAAAAACCTGGTATTATGTTCCAAAGTAATCATGGAAAAATTCGATGAAGTTTAATTCTAAGACTTAAATGGCCTCGTTTAAATTATGAACACAATTGAATTGTAATAATGAAATTTAAAAATTAAAACTGGAAACAATTATATAAACGTAGACCATATTGCGTTATTTGCAAAATTTGAAAATAATTTTTATTTTCCATTTAAATACCAAAAAACGCTGAATACTCATTGGTTTCTTTTACTGCGCATATCAAAATATTAAAAAAAGTATACTGTTACATAATTTTATATATATATATATATATATATATATATATATATATATATATATATATATATATATATTTTTTTTTTTTTTATTTTTTTTTTTTTTTGCTGCGTGGTTTGCATGGTCAACGGACGTGCTTATTGAGTCACTATAAATAAGAAAAAGCTATAATTAAATGTTAAGATAAAAATAAGATGGCTCCGAGAGAAATTAAAGAGATATTTTCAACTTTTAATTCAGATGATAATATCTTTGAATATTATATAAATTCTCATCCAAACATCCAAAAGGAGTTATAACCTTTTGGATGAGAGTTATTTAAATAATTTTCATCCAAAAAATGATAATAGGTTTTCACTATTTAGAGAAGTTGATATTTTTATTCTGAGAGTAGCATTTTTCACCAAAATTTTAGAACGTTTCGATATGGATCAGTTCTCTTCAATCAACATTATTGTTAACGCTGAAAATCCTGTGAGAAAAAATCTAAGAAAAAGTTATAAAATTGCAACATGTCTAGATGATATTTATTTGATTTTGATAACATTAACAGCAGCTTTATAAAGATTTTAATAAATTATAAGCAAATTGTAAACAAAACAGTAAGCAGTTACACCAATTACCAGATGTAAATTTGCTGTCGACCATGAAAGAGCTCGTCGGTTGTATAAAAACAATCCAAGCAGAAAAAAAAATCAGAAATGGTCTATATTTATTACAAGGAAGATATGATGAATAACAATACACGTGTAAAAAAAATCGCTTAAAATTAAAATACGTTACTTTTTAACAGCTGCAATAATAAAGCGCTTGCTAAAAAACCATTTGTTTCTTGTCAATAAATTTTTTTTCTCAAATCAGAAAAAAAGTTGAATAATAAACCATAACGTTTCCTTCATGATGATACAAACAGGGTGAAGACTACTTTTAAGACATATGAAAGTGAAAAATCACGTATGCTAAATTAAAGATTAAAGCCTATTTTCGGAAATAAAGTTGCACTTAACAAAAACTCTCAGGTGTGTTCACCTACAATAGAATTTCCGTTAAGTGCAACTTAACAGAGATTCTATTGCATATAGTTATATCTTTGTAGGAGGGGTCTTTAATTCAATATCAGAAGAGGCTCTGCCTAACTACATCAAAAAGGAAATAGGCATCAAACTGATTGATGTTAAGATAAACCTTAAAGATAAATACAATTGTTCATTTAGAGTAAAAACAAAAAACGCTGAAAAAATAAACCCTGATGTATGGAAAAATAATACTATCGTTAAATCATTTAGAATGCATCGTGATACCGCGAGAAGCGAAATACTTCAACATATTGCAGTTAACACGCCGGACTTAGTACAACCCTCTCAAAAATAATTATTTTCTACATTTGAGGAACAAACTTCCTTTGCTTGACAACAATTTAACTCAAATCGGATGCCAAATTTTAGTTAAAAATGGAAGGAAACAAAGTAATTAAAACATTTGAAAATTTTTTTTTATCATATAACTGCCAAAAGTTTTAAACCAAACTAAGTTTATATTTTCGAACTGGTCATGTGATCTTTATATCAGAACATTGCCTTTCACTACCCTTTATAAATACCAAAGTTATTCTTTATTCGCCATTTAACTAAAGCGATCACTAACCAATAGCTAAGAGTATCACCGTTGCACATATTTATTGGCCTAATGGAATAAAAGATGAGAGGTAAGCAATGGAAGGCAAATTGGAAATAAAAATATGGAAAAATTTTACTCAAATTTTTAATGGAATATCAAATAAAATTATTGACTTTGCTGTTCAAAACTTGCCTTTTACTCCTTCACCACTTAGAGGTAGAGTTTTAATATTAGAATTAGTTTAAAATATATTTAAGAAATATAAGATTATAAGAGAATAAAATTTATCTTGAAAAACAATGAATATCAATTTAAGTTTTGTTTTTAAATCTTATTTTATAGGCTTTAAAAATAATAAATACATCTTAAAAATAATAAATAATTAAGATTTAAAAATTTCACCTGATTTTGTGTCATAAAAAAAAGAATTGTTTATACAATAAGAAATAAGTAAAAACAAAACTAATACATAATTTTTAAAAAGAACACGGAGACTCACAGAAAAGAACACGGAGACGCAGAGAAGCGGTTCTCTTGTCATCTAAAACTCGTTAAATTTGTAAAATTGACTGGCATTAATTTATTTCATAATTTTAAATGACTAATGTTCATTGATTTCGTAATTTAGTTTTTTTTAATTTTGTTCCATTAATTTTTAAGGACTTAAAAAATTTTTGATATACTTTTATTTCACTTCCTTTTTTTTTTTTTTTTGTCCTTCAAAAACAATAAAAAAATTATTTTTTTTCTATCCACTAATTCAGCAAGTCTTTACTTAAAAAAAAATCCTTTGTTGGTTTTTTTTTTTTTTTCATCTTTTTATGACCCTGCTTAATCTGGGAGTTCTCAAATATTGCAGTGCTTATTATGGTTTTTAAATTTGTTTTATATTATTAAATTTTTTTTTTTTTAATTTTATTTAGGTGCTTTAAAAAGTCTTTAAGGTCTTTTCACAGAGCACCGCGGATGAGCATTTAATAGGAAGGTCACGCCTCCTTTCTAACCGATGACGCAAAACTTGTCCAGAGGTGGGGTTTGAACCACTTATACTTTGTTTCTGAGGCAAGTGCGCTACCACTGCGCCACAGCAGCTATTACCGTCTCGCTTTATAATTATATATAATACATCGAAACAGAGTACTTTAGGAATTATATAATTCGTCATTTATAAACATTTTACAACGTTCTTGTTTTACAATTTTCATCAATAAAATTTACATAAAAATTAATAACGACAGGAGCAAGTAGAAGACAGAAGTCTTGTCATCAAGCCCCTATAGTAAGCGTAAAGTACTTTATATAATTTCTCATTATATAAATTTACAAATACTCGTTATATAAAAACAAGTTAACACATTATCACAACAAGTTGCAAAAGATAAATAATCAGGTATATTAAGAAATCAAATCAAAATAACAGAACATCTCTACTACATTTCTTACTAAATTTCTTTAACTTTTTTACTACATTTCATTAACTTTTCAATTTTGTTTGATTTTGTTGTATTTTTGTTGATATTAAATAATTAGTAATAAATCTTTAGTTATATTTCATTATTTATAATAAAACACAACACAATTTTTGTGGGTTGATAACTTCTTGATTATCTACCTTTTGTTTCATTTTATTACTTCATTAATTCCGTTGAAATATTGTTGTTAAAAGGTTCTATTTTTCATTTTAAAAGATTTTTTTGAAAGTTTTTTTGTGTATATACTATTTTATTGATTATTTATTTCTCATGTAAATATTCAAAACGTTTTGTTATTTTATCTAACGGCAAATATATATATATATATATATATATATATATATATATATATATATATATATATATATATATATATATATATATATATATATATATATATATATATATATATATATATATATATATATATATATATATATAAATCTATCCATATAAGGAGATAAAAAAAGGTACAACAAGTTCCATTTCAAAAGAAAACTTCAATCGTTGATGAGTATTTTAAACTGGTATGATTTTACCAAAAGATATATTCTAGCTTTACTTTAAAATTTTATTGCAGTAAGAACTAATCTGTGCTACTATTCAAACTACGCACTGCATAGTCAGAATGCTTAGTAACAATACACTGCATATTAAGCATGCTTAGTAACAATACATAGTAAGGCTTTTTTTTTGTGCACAATTTAGTAGCAAGATTGTCGCTTATAGATACTAATGAACGGAAACATTTAACTTTGTTACCGGTTTCAACGAAAACTTTTGCCGAAACCTAAAGTTCTGTTTCGGAAGTCTTCAACTTGTTTCGGAAGTCTTCAACTTGTTTCGGCCAAAGTAACTGTTTTAACTGTTACCGTAATATACAAAAACTTGAAGAGATTTTTTAAGTGTTTAATTGTTTTTAGTTTAGTATGGAGCCTGTTTCTCTATTTACTTTGATGTTTTAATATGTTGGAGATCAATTTTCAATTAAAACAATTGGTTTTAATTGAGTGTTTCATAATTGAATCTATTACTCTCAAATAATTCTTAGAGTAATGCCATATTTGAAAAAAAAATCAATAGTTTCAACAAAAGCTGTTCAATCTTGAATTCTTCAATGCAAAATAATTTAAAAAGGAGCCATTCGTGGAAAGTTTTTAGCGTAACGGTTTGTGATTTCAGATAGCAACATGCAATTTATGCAACGAACGAAAATCTCGAATGTATTTTTTGATTTCTAAAAAGCAAGTCATTTTAAAATTTGTCTTCGAGCAAATAAAAAACCATCCCATTGTGAAAAAAAAAAAATATTTTTTGATGATGTCAAGTTTCATTTTTTTTTGATGATGCCAAACAGTCAAAAACGGCAAACTTTAAAAATTCTAGTTCCAAATTGGTAAAATAAATTTTAAACCAGGTTCCAATTATTCCAACTTATTTCTGCTGTTGAAAATTTTGGAATAGTTATAAAGAAAGCATATGAAAAGTTCGGTTTAAAAAAAATGGCGAAGTGAAACTTTTTTTTATAGAATACATGGAAAAAATTTTGTTCTGCAGAGAAAATATTTTAGTTATTAAGAGCTTGATTCCAAATAAAAAGAGCCGAGGTTCAATGCCTTGTTTGGTCATTTCGGTGATCATTAAAAGAAGTGATTTTCAAGAATTGTTTTCAAGTTTTGGATTTTTTTGTTTTCCGTTTCAGTTTAAAAAAATTTTGGTTACAGTTTCGGTGAAAGTATAACTTAAGCGAAATTTCGATGACTTTTTTGAATAAGAATTTGGTTTGTGAGATTTTGATTTCAAGGTTACAAACTAGCTCTAATTATACATTTAAACTTAATAGTCAATTGGAAAACTAAACTTGCTTCAACCAAATAAAAAATATTCAAATAAAACAAAAGTAGAATAAAAGTTTCTTTTAAAAAAAACTATGCGTACCAGACCTCTAAGTTAAAAAAAACTATGCGTACCAGACCTCTAAGTTAAAAAAAACTATTAAATGTTATCATACTTGTTTATTTGATTAAATCAAACAAGTTTAGGTTTATTTGAATGTATATAAATAAATAAATAAATAAATATATATATATATATATATATATATATATATATATATATATATATATATATATATATATATATATATATATATATATATATATATATATATATATATATATATATATATATATATATATATATATATATATATATATATATATATATATATATATAACTGAACATGTAAATAAAAAAAAGATGCACTTACCTTTAGTTTGTGATTTTATCAAAGTTGTAATTAATGACAAATAAAATTAAACGAAATAAATAATCTCACATCAGCAGCTTCGATTTAAAAAACGATTTCAGTTTTCTAAAGACCTTTTTTTAAATTTTATATATATGAGAAGATGAAACAATCTTCTTTTTTTTTTACTTTTATTAAATTTTTTAAACTTGTTGTATTTAACTTAATTAAAATCTAAAAGCAGATCAAATGAGCCTTAAAACCACTAAAATATTTATAATATCTTCATTTAAAGTATATTTATTCATAAACATATAACTTTTTAAAAATATATAATCTTCATAAATGTATAACAGTCTAATATTTTATTCATTTTTTTTTTTTTTTTTCATTATAACTATTGTGAGACTAACGGCAATACTGATACGAAAATAATGGTTTGTTTGAGACAATTTATTTCATAGATTTTTAAATTTGCTTGTATTTTTAATTCTTTCCTATTTTTTCTCACGCATTTATTTCTTAGATTTTCAAATTTTACTGTTAAAAAAATTATTTTAAGTAATATTATTAAGCAAAATTTTAATATATTTTTTTCTTAACATAAAGATAGTGTAAATATAAAATCAATCAAAGATTGGTACATTGCTCACATATTAACATTAATGTATAAAGCAAATGATTTGATGGTTAAAACACATTTTCATAGCTATAGATTAAGGTATGACGCGACCACCATCAATATCAATTAATAAAAAACGTGTTTTTATGTCTGCATCATAATGAATTATGCATAATATTATAGTCTTTTACATTTAAAAAATAGAATAGCAAGAGTATAATACAAAATTAAGTAAAAAAATATAAAAGTTATATAAAAAAAATAACGTGAAAACAATTTTTTTATAACGACTCTAATCCTTGGTTTAAATTGAAAAAACTTTTTTTATTTTTTAAAAATGTTACTAAAACACCCAACTTTGTTATTTTCACTGCATAACATTTTACTTGAATCAATAGCTCAGCAAACATTCTATAGTGGAGTTTCAGTAAACCTCAGCGGTCTACTGTAGTTTTTGCTCAACAGTTACTTTATGTACTATTAGTGACAGCTGTCAAAAATGGCTAGGCGATGACTAGCCACAATATTACATGTTGAAAAGTTATCGGCTTGCCACTTAAAGCGGATACAATTAATGGTCACCTAAGCAACTTTTTTAGCAACACTCTAATGAAACGCTCAAAATGCTTATATATGTTCATAACAAATCCACTAAAGTAATATTTTCTGGGAGTCAAGGGATTAAATAGAGAGGAGACCAAGTAGCAAACAAAATTGGCGCAATATTTTTTACAGTATGTAAACTATTTAAACAATAATGCGCTAATACTGTTTGTTGTACGGGCAGTCTTAACAATTAAAATCAAATTTTAAAAAAGTTTAAAAACTTTTACTCTGCATAGTATATCTCCAATAAAATGTTAACAACAATAATAAAATAAAAAGTGTTTTCCAGAATCCAATTGGATTTGACCAAAAATAGAACCAAAAATAGAAAACACTTGCGTTTAAACATATTTTCAAAAACTTAGAATTGAAGATCACATTATGATTAATATCAAAAAAACGTTTTTGATTAAAGATTTCGCTTCAAGTTTAAGAACTATTTTCAAGTAGCAGCCGATGTAAAAACCGGTTGATGGGTTCTTTTTAAAAATGTTTCGTTTAAAGACGACACAAATTTACTTTAACAATTTTTAAAACACTTAAATGTAACAGCTGTCTATGATCTTTTATTTTGCATTTTTTGATCAGTAAGGCTGCAAATATTTACTAATATTATGTATATAAATATGAGAGGATATTTTTGTCAGCCGATGTTTTGCAGCGACGTTTCGCGGTTTAATTTCGATTATTTATTTTCGCATTTCAAAGACTTTTTTATTTTTTTTATTTATATCTAGTTTTAAATATTTCTATCTTATACTCATTTTTACAAAATTAGCCTCAACTCGTAAAAGTAAAACAATATCTTTTAAGCAAAAAACACATATTTGAATCAGCTAGGTAAACTCTTTGAATCGAATCAATTAACTACTATGTGAGTTATTTATTAGAAATTTTATTTATTAGAAAATTTAAGGGGTAATAAATGGAATTCTCAATGTACAAAGTTATAAAGTTAATCTTTTTAATATTTTGTTTATTATTTGTTTTTATTTTATTTTGTGTGTGTGTGTTTATTTTTTCTATTTTTCAACTAAGTAAATTGCTACTACTAAATTACTGATTTCCTACATTAAATTAAACATATGGATTCTTTCAATATTATACAGATGAACCCAGCTTGTTTCAACAACTAACTTGACTAAAAAAATCTACTACCAGATTCCAATAATAAATTTCAGCTTTAATCAAGGAGTGTAGCCATGGCGCAATGATCAGCGCTTGCCTCAAAAGCTAGTGTTTGTTGGTTCAACGTCACCTCTGGGCTAGTTTTATAACATAGGTAAGGAAGAATGCGTAAACATCCTTTCAAATGCTCTTCCGTGGTGCCCTGTGATAAGACCGTAAGAGCTTCTTGAGGTACCCATGGCCTACTTAAATTACACGGCCTGATTTGTTGCATTTTCCGTAAAAAATTGAGAGGCCAGTTTTTTTTACGGCTTAAGTATAAAAACTTTGTATAAAAATAAATTTACGGCTTAAGTATAAAAAAAGTATAAAAATTTTGTTATGGTTAAGAGTCTTGTTTGCACTATAATTATTTTATTAAAATGGTTTAATATTAGTTTGATTTTCTTTGATTACTTAAATTATTTTGTGCTAGATTTTCTGTTAACTGATTGCCTGCTTCAATTTATTCCAATAAAAAAGAATACTGAAATAGGCTTTCAGATAGCTATATCAACACATATTAACATGCTACTAAAAATAATCTTACATATTGTTAAAACTACCCACAACTCTCCATTGGAAATAATTTTAAAGGTTTGTAATTTTGGATTTATTATAATTGCAATTATTAAGTAGAAAACATAAACCTTTCTTTAAATTATTTACACTGCAAAACAAGGTTTTGGATTGTAAATACTTTATTATGCTGCATGTCTCAAACATACAGCAATTAAAATGTAACAAATCAGGCTATTTATTTACAGTAGCCAAGAAATATCAGGCATACCAACTGTTTTGGAGTCAATAGCTGTTAATAAAATTCTAATTTTTTTTATTGCCAAATAAATGGTTATCATTCTTCTTTATTTAAATGGTTTTGCAGTGGTAAAAAATACAAATTGAAAAACTATAATATATTAGAAAAAACATTGACAAAAGTTTGGTATTAAGAGATTATTTGCTTCTTGTGGGTAAGATGAACTTTCAAAAAGCAGCCCAAAGTGGTAAACATTTTGATGAAGATTGAGAAAACAATCTTTATAAAGAATTGGTTTTTGTTTTTATGATTGTAGGGCTTCAAAAATTTATTCTTATGTTTTGAAATCATAACCTAAAGTTTACATAACAGGTTTATGTTTGAAAAAAGAAATTGATGAGTGTATTACCTCAATGCACCAATCTGAATTTAAGATAAGAACTAGTGATAGTTACCGATAACCATTTTACAAATGTTAATGCATTTATATAGTTTCATAAAGCATATACTGGAGATGGAAAATTATTAATTTATCATTTCATTTAGAAAGAGAGTGTTTAAAATATACTTGTTATTTGATAAACTCGGTTTTTGTTTTTTTCTTCTTGTTGAAGTTACTGCTGATTACATTGCAGGAAATATATTTCTTAAAGTTTATTAAAAGATCACTTTTTAAACAAGCAAGAAAAAGCAAGAAAAATTAATTATCAAATCACATATTTTGGTAACAACAAACAAGTTGTCAACATCGACAATATTTGACAAAACAACTGCAGCTACAACTGCTAATTTAGAGTTATTTTTCTGAAAGAAATAACGCAGCACAATTATCATTGTTTTATAAGTTATTTATCATACTTAATTCAAAGCAGAAACTTAATTCATCTAATCAAACTCAGCAATGCTGCTATGAAAGGTGATAACAAACCCACACTTTATAGAGAAATTGCAAATTGTACTGAAACTTGATCAAAATAAAATTTGATAAATAGCTGACATTAACCAAACAAACTTCTAGTGCTCTAATTACAACACTACACGCATTTGTATTTCTTATGCATGATTTCCTTGAAGAAGGCTTTACATTTGTTTATAGTTAATTTACAAAAAGATCCTTTGGAGCTAGGTTTTATTAAGTATAGTTAAATGCCCAATAGTAGACTTTTTGTGAGCCTTTTAGAAATGTGCATAAGTAAAAAGATTTTGTCAGATTTTCCCAGAAAATATTTACCAGAATTTTGATAATCCTTAAAAAATATTATGCAAGATATTGCTTAGTTGTCTACATAAATACTACTGTCAGCTTTCTGAAGATAGCACAAATATATATACTAAAGCAAGTAATAATGGTAAAAATTAACAAAAAGATTTTGATGTTAAACTTATGATCAATAAGCATTACTTTATTAAGAGAAGAACCTATATATTTAATTCAACCTCTGTTTAATTTTATTTGTCATCTTTTTAGTATTTTATGTTATTTCTTTTATTCTAATAAAACATTGCAGTCATTCTTTTTTAATTAAAAATTTACGAAACAAATTTTAAAGATTTGATCTAGCATTTTCAATTTTACAAATAAAAACCACCAAAAATGGGAATCAAATATAGATCTCGTATTGTATTGCAAATTAATATAAAAAATATTATTATATTTTTTATAGTAATTTGCAAAAAAAAATTACATATTCATTTAAAAAAGATCAAGTAAAAGAACTCCAAAAAAGACAAAATAAACATTTCTAGCAAAAATGTATTTCTTCTTTTTATTTCAATTATATAAAATACAAAACTACAAACCTTTTTTTTGCTCAATGGAGAGTTTTAGGCAATCTAAGCAACATGAGAGATTATTTTTAGTAGCATGTTGGTATGGGTTGATATAGTTATCTGGGAGCCTATTTCAGTATTCTGTGTTGTTGGAATAAACTGAAGCAGGCAATCAGTTAACAGAAAATCTAGCAACAAATTAATGTAAGTACTCAAAGAAAATCTAACTATTATTAAACCACTTTAATAAAATAAAAATAA